TCCTAAGGCTATAGCTACCATAGAGAGTGATCCCTCTGATGGATCTAGGCAAAGTCAACTGAAAACCTTCTGGAAAGGATTCACCATTCTAGATGCCATGACACATTCGTGATTCATGGGAGGAGGTCAAAATATCAACATAAACAGGAGTTTGGAAGAAGTTGATTCCAACCGTCCTGGATGACTGTGAGGGTAGAGGAAACAACTGTAGATGTGGCGGAAACAGCAAGAGAACTAGAATTAGACGTGGAGCCTGAAGATGTGAATTGCTACAATCTCATGATAGAAGTTTAACAGATGAGGAGTTGCTGCTTATGGATGAACAAAGAAAGTGGTTTCTTGAGATGGAATCTACTCCTGGTGAACATGCTGTGAAGACGGTTGAAATGACAAAGGTTTAGAATATTACATAAACTTAATTGATAAAGCACTGACAGGCTTTGAGAGGATTGACTCCAATTTTGAAAGGTCTCCTGGGGGTAAGATGCTATCAAACAGCACTGCATGCTACAGAGAAATCGTTCATGAATGAAGAGTCAGTTGATGGGGCAGACTGCACTGTTGTCTTATTTTAAGAAGCTGCCAGTCACCCCGGCCTTCAGCACCACCACCCTGATCAGTCAGCAGCCGTCAACACTGAGGCGAGGCCCTCCACCAACAAAAAGATTACAACTCACTGAAAGCTCAGATGATGGTTAGCATTTTTCAGCAATAAAGTGTTTTTTAATTAGGGCATGTACAGTTTTTTAGAGATAATGCTATTGCACACCTAGTAGACTACAGTATATTGTAAACATAACTTTTATATTCACTGGGAAACCAAAAAAAATTTGTGTAACTCACTTTGTGATATTTGCTTTACTGCAGTGGTCTGGAACTGAACCTGCAGTATCTTCAAGCTGTATCTGTATTGAAATTTAGCTTTATTAATATGAACTAAATTGTTATAAGTTAACATGTTAGTTGGAATACCCAGGACAAACACTAAGAAGATAACTATAAATTATAAAAGAAATGACAGGGCTTCCCCGGTGGCGCAGTGGTTGAGAGTCTGCCTGCCGATGCAGGGGACACGGGTTCGTGCCCCGGTCCGGGAAGATCCCACATGCCACGGAGCGGCTGGGCCCATGAGCCAAGGCCGCTGAGCCTGCGCGTCCGGAGCCTGTGCTCCGCAACGGGAGAGGCCACAGCAGTGAGAGGCCCGCGTACCGCAAAACAAAACAAAACAAACAAAAAAGAAATGACGAGAATTAAAATGGTACACTAGAAAATATCTAACACAAAAGAAGGCAGTGATGGAGGCCTAGAGAAACAAAAAAGAACAGATACAAAACAAATCGCAAAATGGCAGGTGTAAAATCTACATTATCGGTAATACATTGAATGTAAATAGATTAAACTCTAATTATAAGGCAGAGAGTAACAGAATGAATATAAAACATCCAATTATATACTGTCTATAAAACATGTGCTTTAGATTCAAAGACACAAATAAGTTGAAAGTCAGAGGATGAAGAGAAATACCATGGCAACAGCATCCAAAAGAGAGCTGTAATGGCTGTACTACTAAATAAATGAGAAATATTTTGAGATTAATGAAAGCAAAAGTATAACATTCCATTTCACTGCAGTGAAAGCAGTGCTTAGAAGGAAATTAAGCTGTAAACACAGTAAAAAGGAAGAAAGGTCTCAAGTCTATAATCTTGCAGTTTAAGAAACTAGACAAAAGAAGTGCAGACTAAAATCCAAAGCAGGCAGAAGAAAACAATAGAAATTAGAGCAGAAATAAATGAAGTAGGGATTCAAAAAAAAATAGAGAAAAATCAACAAAACAAAGTTCATTTACAAAAATCAACAAAATTGACAAACTTGTAGCTAGAATGACCAAGAAAAAAAGACGACTGAAAATCAGGAATGAAGAGGGGGGAATTCTAACCTCACAGAAATAAAAAATTTATTAGAGTACTATGAATAATTACATACCAACAGATCTGCTAACCCAGATGAAATGAACAAAATCCTAGAAAGATAAACCATCAAAACTGTTTCAAGAAGAAATAGAAAATATGAGTAGGCCTATAACACGTAAAGACATTGAATTTGTAATAAAAAAAACTCCCCAGAAAGAAAAGCTCAGGACCAGGTGACTTCACTGGTGGATTCTACAAAACATTTGAAGAATTAACACCAGTCTTTCACAAACTCTTAAAAAACTGAAGAGGGGGGAAACACATCCCAACTCGCTCTGTGAAGTATTAACCTCATACCAAAACCAGCCAAAGGCATCTCAAGAAAAGAACACTACAGACCCAATATCCTTTATGAATGTGGATGCAAAAATTATCAACAAAATAATATTGAACCAAATCTATCACCATCTAGAAAGTCTTATACACCATGAATATCCCTTATGAATACAGATGCAAAAGTCATCAAAAAAAATACTATCAACCCAAATCTATCAATGCTTAAAAAGTAATATATACCATGACCAAGTGGGATTTATCCCAGGAATGCAAGATATTTTCAACAAATAAAAATAAGCCAATGTTAAAAAAAAAATAAGCCAATGTAATACACTGTATAATAAAGGGGGTAAACACTTGATTATCACTATTAATGGAGAAAAAGAATTTGAAACCCTTTCATGATAAAAACACTAAACACTAGGCATAGAAGGAAACTTCTTCATCTATGAAAAGCCCACAGCTAACATCATACTTAATGATGAATGACTGAAAGCTTTTCCCCTAAGATCAGAAATGAGGCAAGTATGTCCACTCTCACCACATCTACTCAACACTGTACTAGAGGTTCTAGCCAGAACAATTAGGAAGGGGGGAAAAAAAAAGGCATTCATATAAAAAGTTAATTTGTAGATGACATGATCTGGTATATAGAAAATCCTAAAAACTCCACCAGTACATTATTAGTGCTGGTAAGTTCAGCAAGCTTACCGGACACAAGATCAATATAAAAAACCAACTCTATTTTTATATACTTGCAATTAACAATCCAAAAATGAAATTAAGAAAACAATTCCATTTATAATAGCATCCAAAAAATACCTGGGAATAAAAATAAAAGGAGTATAAAAATTTGTACACTAAAAATGACAAAACTAAATGGGAAGACATCCTGTGTTCATGAACTGGAAGATTTAATATTATTAAAATGGCATTCCCCAAATTAATCTCCAGATTTAATGCAATACCTATCAAAATTCCACTGATTTTTTTTGACAGAAATTGAACAAGTGACCCTAAAACGTTCATATGGAACTGCAAAGGACGCAAAATAGCCAAAACAATTTTGATAAAGAACAAAGAGGACTCAACGCTTCCCAATTTAAAAACTTACTACAATGCTACTGTAATAAGGACAAGTGTGGTACTTGCTTTAGGACAGACATACAGATCAATGGAATAAAACTGAGTCTAGAAATAAACCTGTATATTTATGGTCGATAGATTTCAATAAGGTCACCAAGACAATACAATGGGGAAGAATAATGTCAACAAATGGCGCTGGGACAGCTAGATGCTCACTTGCAAAAGAATGAATTTGCACCCCTATCTCACAACACACAGAAAAATTAACTTCAGTGGATCGTAGATCTAAGTGTAAGAGCTCAAACAATAAAACTCTTAGAGGAAAACATAGCTGTAAGCCTATGACCTTTAATTAGGTATGACACCTAAAGCACAAGCAACCAAAGAAAGAAGATAAATTCGGCTTCATCTTAAAATTTTCATCACAAAATTAAAAACTTTTGTGTACCAAAAAATGGTATCAAAAAGTGAAAAGACAACCAACAAATGGAGAAAATATTTGCAGATCACTTATCTGATAAGGGTCTAATATCCAAAATAGACAAAGAACTCTTACAACTAAATAATAAAAAGACAATCCAATTTTTTAAATGGGTGTAAGATTTTAATAATTTATTCAGAGAAGATATGTGGGTGGCCAATAAGCACTTGGAAAGATGTTCAGCGTTATTAGCAACTAGGACAATGAAATCACAACCACGATGAGAAACCACAACCACTGAGATGGCTGTGATTTTAACAAACAGACAATAACAAGCATTAGCAAGGATGTGGAGAAATTTGAATTCTTATACATTGCTAATAGGGATGCAAAATGATGCAGCCCCTTTGGAAAACAGTCTGTCTGACAGTTCCTCAAATAATTAAACATTGACTGGTATAACCCAGCAATTACACTCCTAGATATATACCCAAGGAATTGAAAAACGTATATTCACATATAAACTTGTACATGAATATTCATGGCAGCATTATTTATTCCTAATAGCCAAAAAGTGGAAACAACGCAATGTCCACTAACTTAATGGATAAACAAATGTGGTATATCTATACAATGAAATACTATTCAACCATAAGAAGGGAGAACTTATACATACTACACAAGGATAAACCTTGAAAACATTACACTAAGTGGAAGAGGGCAGGAACGAAAGGCCACATAGTGTATGATTCCATTTATATAAAATGATCAGAATGGGCAAATCCGTAGAGATAGAAAGTGTATTAGTAGTTGCCATGGGATGGGGGGAGGGAGAATGGACATGACTGCTCGTGGGTACAGGGTTTCTTTTGAGGGCACTGAGCCGGCCGCCTGTGGGTCAGCACTGGCCCAGGTGGGTTTCCCTCAGCAGGGCTGTGGGCAGGCCCTCTTCTCGAGAGCCCATGGTGGGCACTGGGGCGGACAGGCTGCCAGCAGGCTGTGGCTTTACCTTCTCTAATAACAGGACTTTTTAAGCCCATCGTTGTCTCTCACCCCCTCTGTGCAGAAGACCACAGAGAGGCGCAGCTGCACCCCCATGAGAAACCACATGGACAGCCGCTTCCCCAGGCCTCATTCCACCAAAAATACACTGGGTGTCTGCCCCTGTGTTATGGTCAAGATCGCCATCTGCTTCCTGAGTTGCAGGATCATAGCTGACAGAAGCGTATCACAACCGTGAGTCATACGTGCCTTTTTTTTTTCCTGAAAATGATTTATTTTATTCATTTCCCCCCTACCCTCCACTTTGTTCTGCCATCTGGCAACTACTTTTCATCATAAAAATCATAATTTCTTGTCCCCCTCATTTCTACTTCATGAGCAGTAAGTTAGTTCTAAATTGTCAGTAGATAGTAACTCGGGGAAAGTTCTCAGTACTCTGCTCAGAGGAGCAAAATGTGCATCCAGCAGGTGCTTCAAAAATGTCTGCTGGGTGAAGTAGCTCCACCAAGTCTGTGTTTTGGCCTGGCCTCTGTCTCTCTCTGGATGATTTGAATCATCTTGGCAGGAAGCAACAATATGCATTTCTGAGATGATTTCTGTTTCCCTGGAGCAGGGGCGACCACATCCGGAGCCGTGTGCCCCCTCCAGCTCGCCCCTCCCGGGTCTGCGCCAGCATCTGGTGGGAGAGGTCGCCGTCCCGTTCCGGGGGGACCTCCTGGGTTTCCTCAGGAATCCTGAGCTGTTCCTGCAAATTCCCTGAAGGCCGGCTTGACTCATTCTAGGCCTTTGCAAGCGGGCAGTGAGTCAGCGGGTCTTTGCTTCTTTCCCACATGGATGATTCAATACACATCCCACAAATGAGAAAACTGGGGCACAGCCAAGGTTCAAATAAATAGTCAAGGTCTACGTAGTGAAGAGCAAACAGGGAGGCCAAGAAAGTAAAGCTGGTCAGTCTGACCCTAGGATCTATGCTCTTTAGTATCCTGCCTAAAAGCCAGGAAGGGGTCTGGAAAGCCACACTGTGGGGGGAATGGGGAAAGAATTTCAGTTTTTACTTCATGTAATTATGTATAGATATATGCACATACTGTTTTTAAAAACCTAATTTATAAAGGAGATGAAACTAAATATAGCCACACATTGAAGAGGCAAATCATGGAAAGCTAACTATCCATTTTCTTTAAAAGCTGCAGATTTTCCACCTTAAAAATGATCTGAAACAGTTACTAGGCATAGAGTCAAAGTGACTTTGAAATGTTGGATACGAATAATACAGACCAGTGGCCTAAAGAATGTCTTCACACGCTGAATGTGATTTTGCACGTGCAGTTCATATTTTGGGAGGTCCTCGCTCTGTCCCTGGTGGGCTTTCCAAAGACACCTGTTGAGTGACTGAATAAAGACTAAGCGGGCCAAACCCCACACCGTTCCTGCAACCCGTCTGCAAAGAGAAGGCCCTGCCAGCGGACTGGGAATGAATTCCCAGCATTGTTCCACCCTGCACAGTTGGGCAGCCAGAAGGCTCTTGCCCAGGGCTAGTGTGATTTATTAAGGTGCCTGGAATCCCTGGATGAGACACGCTGTGCACAAGAACCCTATGACTCATCTGTTCCCATCGCTGCCCTCTCTTCACTTTTTTCCAGCCTCCCTCTCTCTCCGGCGCACTGCACTCTTTCTTTCCAGTTATTCTGAGTCCTGCCTGACACATTCCAATCACTGACAGAAAGGCAGATGTGAGAAAAGCTTCCCTTCTATTTTTAAAAGCTGCCTCAGGCTCCACATTGCTGATGCTGCTGGCGGCTCTGGCACGATCAGTCCTGGGGGATGAATTCTGGCCAACCAGAATGGAAATGTCCCCATGGCAGCCATTTCTAACACGGCTTTTGCTCTGAGAGTTTGTTTCTTACCCCAGAAAATGTTTGAGGCTTCTGAAATACCTGTATATCCTGGGTGTCACTTGATCAACAGCAAGAACACACACGAAACCTGCTGTTTTGTGGACGTGTAAAATATAAACTGACGTTTATTTTTGTTTGCGCTCTTAAAACAATTGTGTAATGGAAGATCTGCTGGAAGAAGACGTGGCTTGAATAATAGAAATGTGAGTAGAAAATACCAGAAAATGTCTCACGAATTTGTGCTTAAGAGGAAAAGACACTGGCGAAATCTGTCTCCCTACCTCTTCCCATGGCTCCCAGGATGGGCTCTGGAGCGAAGAAGTGGTCCCGGTGCTGTGAGCTTTGGCCTGTGCCAGTGCAGGGGGAGCCCACCCCACACCCCCTAGTCCTTCTCATGCAACCGCCCGTACAGAGCTGCCGTCACCAGGCCGGAGGACAGTTCGCTCTTCCTCAGGAAATAGTGATCATTCTCCCAGCCCAGCTGGTCAGGGGTTTCCAGGGTCATCCCTGAGGTCAGAAGCATTGGAAAGATATAGGAGGTACTGAAGTTCCCCCACAGGTGAAACTCAAATATCCCCGCAGCCTCTGTGACCTCCTGCCCACAGGTCTCAAAGCCAAGACCGCCACACTTGACCAGGGCACAGACTTGAACGTAGTAAGTGCCGTGCACAGTGTGAAGGCCGTCAAAGACCCCCAGGGCATACAGCTCCTTGGACAGAGTGGGCCTCTGGTAAAGCAAATGACAGCAAAGGCTATTTGCACAGACTTGGAGGTAGCCTTCCTTGCCCCACACGGGAACCAGGGTGAAATTGTCATACATCATCTCAGAGTTAAACGTGGGAGGGGCATTCGTATTCCATTTGGGGGCTCCATCACAGTGGACGTCCTGAGCATCCTTCTCAGAGTATGGATCCCCTGCCAAGATTTTTAAAAACTTACTGTGGGATGGGTCCATTTTCCCTGTGGCATTCCCTGTGCCAATGAGACCCTGTGGATTTTTGGCTACCTGGGCAATTATAAGGTGACCTTCGGGGCTTTCCATGTCATGGTGCCAAAAGGACTTCAGAGGGGTGTGTATGCCACTTCCCGTCATCCCCAGAGATGGATGGTGGATGTTCGCAGCCAGAAAGTTGACGCCAAAGGCGATGGCGAAACCTCTCTGAATCTGAATGGCTGCCAAGAGTGGGAGCTGGTTCATCCAGGCGGTCGGATACACGACATGCTTCACCTCCGAGTCTCTGAGGAGCCTGACAGCAGGGTCGAAGAACAATATGTCAAAGCAAGTGAAGATGCCAAACTTGCCAGCAAAGGGGGTATCAAAGGTGATGCGATCCACTTCCAGGGGGGTATTGAACGCTGCTTCAAAGTAGAGGTTTTGTTTGCGGTAGCTGTCAACCAGGGTTCCATTACTGCTGAACACCACGTTCGTGTTATACTGGTATCTGCCATCATTTGGGCACCCTGGGTCACTGCTATGACAAGGCTGCTTTGTCCCAAGATTGGCCACCAGGAACATCTCTCCCTTGACAGCCATACAACTCAGGCGCTGGAGGACCTAGAGGGAAAAAATAAAAGTGTAAATAAAGGAAATTTTTAAACCCTGCCTTTTTCTTACAATTTTAAAATAGTACCTGTATTGTATTGATAATATATAAATAGCTATCATAAATCAATAAGAAAAAAGTAACCACTACTGAAAGCGTGCAAAGGATATGAACAGGTGGTTCACAGATGAACAAATACAAATGGCCAACAAACATTGACAAGATGCTCAGTCTCATTAGTAGTAAGGAGATACAAATTAAAATGATAATGAGATATCATTTTTCACCTCTGTAAGATTGGCAAAAATTAAAAAGACTATTCTATCTTGCATTGACCAAAGGATGGGCAAACAGGCACTCATGCACTATTACTGGGGATGCAAAGTGCAATCAAAATCTTTTAAAGGGAAAACTTGGTGCTCTTTAAAAAATAATTTTTAAAAGTGCTTATCTTGGGGGGCTGCAATCAATATGGTGGAGCAGAAGGACATGGAGCTTACCTCCTCCCACAAATACATCAAAAATACATCTACATCTGGAACAATTCTCACAAAATACCTACTGAACCCTGGCAGAATATCTCCAACACCCAAAATCACAAGAAGGATCTCCACACAACTGGGTAGAGTGGAAAAAAAAAAAAAGGGAATTGGGACAGGACTTGTGCCCCTGGGAGGTAGTTGTGAAAGAGAAAAGGTTCCCACACTCTGGGAAGCCCCTTCACTGGGCACGAGAATCAGCCAGGCCACTGCCCTGCACTCCTCAGCCTGAGACGTGCATCCACTGGTATGTGCTGGGGCTGGGTGCTGAAACTCAGGCTTCAGAGGACAGACCTGGGGAGAGCACTGCGGCTGGCTGCAGAGACAGCCTGAAGGGGCTGGAGTGTGGTACGGGCTGCAACCAGCGGTATACATGGAGGAAGCCCGGGTCCTCCATAGAAGCAAAGGGCCTTTGTTAAGGAGCGCGGGAGGGAGGGGCGAGCCTGCCACAGTAGCCTCCACTTTCGGCATGCTCATGGCAGGTGTGCGCCGCCACTGAAACCCCATTGTCAACACGCATGTCAGCAAAGCGAGGGATGGGGCCCAGCACAGCAGCCTCTTTCTCCATGCGCTCCTCTACGAGCTCTGGGAGCGCGCTAGTGGGTTGCCCACATGCAGAGGTAGGGCTGAAATCTGAGCCCTCTCCCTGTGGCTGTGCAGATTTACCCTACTGGGGCCTGCTTTGTAAACTCAGCGCCTGAGGGACACCCAAGTGGACAATGGGTGTTCCTGTGGCTGGAACAGGACTGGCCTTAGCATCTGTGGGCTTTGTGGGTGCATGTACATAGAGGCTGGGCCAGGGTCTGGGCTGCTTCCATAGCTCCCACAGCAGGTCCAGGTGTGTGACTACTGCAGTCTTGGTACCTGACTTCAATGGATTTGCACTGGTAGCCTTGTGAAAACAATGCCTGAGGGACATCAGGGCTGACTGCCAGCATTCCCAAGGTTGAGATGGGGCTGAAGGCAGTGCCAACAACAGTGTACTTTGTAAGCATACAATAGGTGACACCACAGAGCACCCTTACGGGTGAACAGCTCTGGCAGAGGAATATTCAGTGGGTCCTCTCCCAGTGGGAGCGCTCCAATCCTGCCTACTTCGTACCCCAGCTCAGAAATGGATCCTAGGGGCTTCTACTCCAACAACTAGGGAGAAGACCCTGCTCAATACCCAGTGCAGGCTCTGGTCACCACAACACCACCACACCTCCTATCAAGGGCATAACGGTCAGCACACACTGAGGAAAGAGGTCGCAGGCATTCATAGTGAAAACAGCCCTCATACCAAAAAATATTAAACCCACACAGGCTACACAGGGACACTCCCACATAAAAATAGCCTTCCGGGACCACAGTAGATAATTGTTTCTCCCAAACTCACAGAGTAAGAGAAACATAAGTAAAATAAAGAAGCAGAGGAGCCACTCCCAATTAAAAGATCAAGAGAATTCCCCTGAAAGAACAAACAATAAAACAGATCTCTTTAACAGACACCAAGTTCAAAAAGGAGATAATGAAAATACTAAAGGAATTAAGAAGGACTATTGATAGAAATGCAGATTACTGTAAAAAGGAACTAGAAACAATAAAGAGGAGCTAAGAAAAATTAGAAAACTCATTTGCCCAGACAAAAGCTGAGCTAAAGGCAATGAACAGCAGATTGAATAATTCAGAAGAACAAGTAAATGATCCAGAAGGTAGAATAATGGAAATCACCCAATCAGAACAGCAGACAGAAAGCCAGATTAGAAAAAATGCAAGCAATATAAAAGACCTATAGGATAATGTAAAACATGCCAATCTACACATAATAGGGAGTCTAAAGGAAAAGAAAGAGAAAAGGGGATCGAAAATGTATTTGAAGAAATTACGGCTGAAAACTTCCCAAACCTAAAGAAAGAAACAGATATCCAGGCACAGGAAGCACAGAGGGTCCCAAACAAGGTGAACCAAAACAGACCTACACCAAGACATACTATAAGTAAAAAGGCAAAAGTTAAAGATAGAGGATTCTAAAGGCAGCAAGAGAAAAACAGAGTTCCTTACAAGGGAACCCCTAAAAGGCTACCAGCTGATTTCTCTACAGAAAAGCTGCAGGCCAGAAGGGAGTGGCAAGCTGCAACCTAGGATACTCTACCTAGCAAGATTATCATCTAGAATAGAAGGAGAGAGAAACACTTTCCCAGACAAGCAAAAGCTAAAAGAATACAGCAGTAGTAAACCTATCCGAAGGGAAATATTGAAAGGTCTTCTCTAAATAGAAAAGAAGAAGGAATCTATAGGAAAGAGGAAAATCACAATTGGAAAATAAATCACTTAAATAAGCCAGTACACAGATTAAAATAAAAATGATAACCACAATGAACAGCGAACAGATGAATATGAAGGTGTAAAATCATAAAATAATTAAAATCATAAAATGTGAAAGAGGAGAGTATGAAAACGTAGATTATTTTTCTAGAACGTGTTTCAGTCTGTATGACTACCAGTCTAAAGCAATTAGATATAGGAAGGGGTTAATGTGCTTGAAATACAGGGTAACCACAAATCAAAAACATACAATATATTCAAAAAAAACCAAAAAGAAGAGAACATAAGCATAATACAAAAAAAAATCATCAAACTGCAAAAGGGAAAAGAAAAAGGAACAAAGAAGAAATTAAAAAATCAAGTAGAAAACAAGTTCTAAAGTGGCAATAAATACATATCTATCAATAATTACCTTAAATGTCAGTGGACTAAATGCTCCAATCAAAAGACACAGAGTGGAAGATTGGGTTAAAAAACAAGAGCCTACAATATGCTGCTTTCTTTAGGGCAAAGGACACACAGGTTGAAAGTGAGGGGGTGGAAAAATATTTCATGCAGACAGAAATGACAGGAAAACAAGGGTCACAATACTCATATCAGACAAAACAGATTTTAAAACAAGGGCCATAAAGAAAGATAAAGAAGGACTCTATATAATGACAAAAGGATCAATACAAGAAGAAGATACTACACTCATCAACATATATGCACCCAATACAGGAGCAGCCAAATACATAAAACAAATACAGACATAAAGGGAGAAACTGACAGGAGCTCAATAATAGGAGACTTTAACACCCCACTCACATCAATGGACAGATCTTCTAGACAGAAAATCAATATGGCAACAGAGATCCTAAATGATAACAATCGAAAAGTTGGACTTAATTGATATTTTCAGGACATTAAATTTTTTAAAAATGCATTCTTTTCAAGTGCACATGGAACACTCTCTAGGATTGACACCATACTAGGGTACAAAATAAGCCTCAACAAATTTAAGAGGATAGAAATTATTTCAAGCATCTTTTCTGACCACAATGGCATGAAACTAGAAATCAACCCCAGAAAAAAAAATGAGAAAAGACAATTACATGGAGACTAAACAACATGCTACTAAAAAGCCAATGGGTCAACAACGAAATCAAAGAAGAAATTAAAAAATACCTTGAGGCAAATGACAATAAAAACACAACCATACAAAATCTATGGGATGGGCTTCCCTGGTGGTGCAGCAGTTGAGAGTCCACCTGCCGATGCAGGGGACACAGGTTCGTGCCCCAGTCCAGGAAGATCCCACATGCCGCGGAGCGGCTGGGCCTGTGAGCCACGGCCGCTGAGCCTGTGCATCCGGAGCCTGTGCTCCGCAACGGGAGAGGCCACAACGGTGAGAGGCCTGCGTACCGCAAAAAAAAAAAAAATATGGGATGCAGCAAAAGCAGTTCTTAGAGGGAAGTTCATAGTGATACAGGCCTTCCTCAAAAAACAAGAAAAATCTCAAACAACCTAACCTACCACCTAAAAGAATTAGGAAAAGAAGGGCAAACAAAACCTAAAGTCAGCAGAAGGAAGCAAATAGTAAAGATCAGAGAGGAAAATGAATAAAATGGAGATTAAAAAACAATAGAAAAAAAATCAATAAAACCAAGAGCTGGTTCTTTGAAAGGGTAAACAAAATCAACAAACCTCTGCTCAGGCTCACCAAGAAGAAAAGAGAGGGGACCCAAATAAACAAAATATGAAATGAAAAAGGAGAAATAACAATCAATACTGCTGAAATACAGAAAACCATAAGAGAATACTATGAACAATTATACGCCAACAAATTGGACAACTTAGAAGAAATGGACAAGTTTCTAGAATCATACAGGCCACCAAAACTGAATCAAGAAGAAATAGATAATTTGAACAGACTGATCACTACAAGTGAAATAGAATCTGTAATAAAAAGAAAAGAAAACTTCCTACAAACAAAAGTCCAGGACCAGATGGCTTCACTGGGGAATTCTGCCAAACATACAAAAAATAACCTATACTGATCCTTCTCAAACTCTTCCAAAAGATTGAAGAGGAGGGGCCACTAACAAAGACATTCTATGAAGCCACCATCACCCTGATACCAAAACCAGACGAAACCACTACCAAGTAAGAAAATTACAGGCATTATCTTTGAGGAATATAGATGCAAAAATTCTCAACAAAGTATTAGCAAACTGAATCCAGCAACACATAAAAAAGATCATGCACCACAACCAAGCTGGCTTCATCCCAGGGTCACAAGGATGGTTCAGTATACACAAATCAACAAAAGACAAAAAGCACATGATCATCTCAATAGATGCAGAAAAAGCATTTGATAAAATTCAACATCCATTCATGAAAAAAACTCTCACTAAAGTTGGTATAGAGGGAATATATCTCAACTAATAAAAGCTTTTTATGACAAACCCACAGCCAATATAATACTCAAAGGTGAAAAGCTGAAAGCCTTCCCGCTAAAATCTGGAACAAGACAGGGATGCCCACTCTCACCACCTGTAGACAACACAGTACTGGAAGTCCTAGCCACAGCAATCAGACAGGAAAAAGAAATAAAAAGTATCCGAATTGGAAGGTAAGAGGTAAAACTGTCGTTATGTGCAGATGACATACTATATATATATAGTCTATAGTAACACTAAAGACTCCACACAAAAACTACTAGAACTGATAAATGAATTTAGCCAGGTAGCAGGATACAAGATTAACATACAGAAATCAGTTTCATTTCTGTACACTAAAAATAAATTATCAGAAAGGGAATGTAAAAAAAACAATCCCTTTTAAAAGTGCATCAAAAAAAAAAAAAAACTTAGAAATAAACCTGACCAAGGAGGTGAAAGACTTATATGGTGAGAACTATAAAATATTAATAAAGGAAATTGAAGATGATTTAAAGAAATGGAGGGACTTCCCAGGTGGCGCAGTGGTTAAGAATCCACCTGCCAATGCAGGGGACATGCGTTCGAGCCCTGGTCCGGGAAGATCCCACACGCTGCGGAGCAACTAAGCCCATGAGTCATAACTACTGAGCCTGCGCTCTAGAGCCTGCAAGCCACAGCTACTGAGCCCATGAGCTGCAACTACTGAAGCCTGCATGCCTAGAGCCCTTGCTCTGCAACAAGAGAAGCCACTACAATGAGAAGCCCGTGCACAACGAAGAGTAGCCCCCGCTCGCCATAACTAGAGAAAGCCCATGTGCAGCAACGAAGACCAAACACAGCCAAAAATAAATAATTTTAAAAAATAATTTAAAAAAATAAAGAAATGGAAAGATATCCCATGCTCTTGGATTGGAAGAATTAATATTGTTAAAATGGCCATACCACCCAAAGCAATCTACAGATTTAATGCAATCCCTATCAAATTACCCATGACATTTTTTCACAGAACTAGAACAGATAAGCCTAAAATTTATATAGAACCATAAAAGACCCAGAATTGCCAAAGCAATCCTGAGGAAAAAGAACAAAGCTGGAGGCATAACCCTCCCAGACTTCAGACAATACTACAAAGCCACAGTAATCAAAACAGTGTGGTCTTGGCACAAAAACAAACATATGGATCAATGGGACAGAACAGGGAGCCCAGTAATAAACCCACACATCTACAGTGAGTTAATCTTCAACAAAGGAGGCAAGAATATACAATGGAGAAAAGACAGTCTCTTCAGCAAGTGGTGTTAGGAAAGCTGGACAGCCACATGTAAATCAATGAAGTTAGAACACATCCTCACACCATACACAAAAATAAACTCAAAATGGCTTAAGGACTTAAATATAAGACATGACACCATAAAACTCCTAAAAGAGAACATAGGCAAAACATTCTCTGATAGAAATTGTACCACTGTTTTCTTAGGTCAATCTCTCAAGGCAACAGAAATAAAAGCAAAAATAAACAAATGGGACCTATTCAAACTTTATAAGCTTTTCTACAGCAAAGGAAACCATAAACAAAACGAGAAGACAACCTACAGACGAGGATAAAATATTTGCAAATGATGTGACTGACAAGGGCTCAATTTCCAACATATACAAACAGCTCACACAACTCAACAACAAAAAAAAACCCAATCGAAAAATGGGCAGAAGACCTAAACAGACATTTCTCCAAAGAAGACATACAGATGGCCAACAGGCACATCAAAAGATGCTCAACATTTCTAGTTATTAGAGAAATGCAAACCAAGACTACAATGAGGTAGCACCTCACAGCGGTCAGAATGGCCATCATTAAAAAGTCTACAAATAACAAATGCGGGAGAGAGTGTGGAGGAAGAGGAACCCTCTTACACTGTTAGTGGGAAGGTAAATTGGTGCATCCACTGTGGAAAACAGTGTGGAGGTTCCTCAAAAAACTAAAAACAGAACTACCACATGATCTAGCAACCCCATTCCTGGGAATATAACCAGACAAAACTATAATTCAAAAAGAAACATGCATCCCTGTGTTCACAGCAGACTATTCACAGTAGCCAAGACATGGAAACAATCTAAATGTCCATCGACAGATGAATGGATAAAGAAGATGTGGTATGTATGTATAGATATATACACATATACATATATACATACACACAATGGAATACTACTCAACCATAAAAAGAATGAAATAATGCCATCTGCAGCAACATGGATGGACTTAGAGATTATCGTACTAAGTGACGTTAAGTCAGAAAGAGAAAGACAAATACCTTTGATATCATTTATATGGGGAATCTAAAATATACACAAATGAACTTATCTATGAAACAGAAAGAGACTCACAGATATAAAGAACAGACTTTTGGTTGCCAAGTGGGGCTGGGGAGGGATGAATTGAGAGTTTGGGATTAGCAGATGCCAGCTACTATATATAAAATAGATAAACAAGGTCCTACTGTACAGCACAGGGAACCATATTCAATATCCTGTGATAAACCATCATGGAAAAGAATATAAAAAATAGTGAATATATGTAAGTATAACTGAATCACTTTGCTGTACAGCAGAAATTAACACAACATTGTAAATCAACTGTACTTCAGTAAAAATAATAAAATTAAAAAAAAAAGATGTCAGTATCTATGAGATGCATAGAAAAGAATATAGGTGGATGCACTGACGGCAGTTTGTCTAGAAAGGGAGGTGGCTGAGGGATGGGGTGTGGTGAAGGTGGGCTTTCATTTTATTAACTTTGATTTGTTGTAGAAGCATATATTCATGCATTTCTTGTGTGATCAACAAATAGAACGATCCACAGATGAGTAAATGCCTCATAGTAGCAGACATTTTTAAGTGAATGACTGGCACAGGGAGCTCGGGTTTGGTTCTCAGGCCCCTAAAGGCTCCTGTCACTCTCATTCAACATGTCCTGGCTCTTGGCCCTTGGCTTGGTTCATCTCCGTGAGCCTCCCACCTCCTGAGGAGGAAGGCTGGTCCCCTTACATACTTCCGTGTCATGGAATCGGTGGGGCTCCAGGCATGGGTTCCACCTGACCAAGTAGGGAGAAGGCAGGAAGTCCAAAAACGGGTAAATGGATGTTCTTGTAAAGTTGAATCCATGGATGCCATCTTCTGGAAACACTATAATCTGTACACCCTGCAAGTCAAAACATCAGAAATAGTCCGTTAACAGATAATGGGAAGCACCCCTTCATTCCTCTGACAGCTGTCCTGCAGCTGCTCTGAACCAGGAACCACAAAGGTCCAGACGTGGTAGCTGGGCTCGGCAGGGATCTGAGCCTTGGGGGAGCCGTCTCACTTGGCCTAACTCTGAGGGAAGAAAGACCAAGTCTTCTAGGGACCAGCACTGTACCGAGGGCTGGCCAGGGAAGAAGGTTACAAGTGAGTTTGGATGGGTTTGGAGTTGGTGGCGGTGCCATGGGAGATGGAGCGGCGACTGTAACAGGCCTGAGTATCAGGCTTAGCAGATGTGCTACCTCTAGTCCGGTGGGTGGTTTTCAACCTTCGTTGTGCTTCTAAATCAGACAGGGGACTTCTGAAAACACAATCTTTGCTCAGCAGTGATGCTTGGGCCCATCCCTAAAAAGTCTGCTTCAATCAACTGTGGGTGCGGTCCCGGCAACAGGTCCCCACATGATTCTAATGGGCCCCAGTGGGCTGGTGGGTGAAAGTCAAGTGCATTGATTTTAGCATAGGAACCAGGACTTGCTCTATCTTGCATTTCTCCCACTGGGAGTTAGGAGACTCCCGTCAGAGCCCTGACCGCCCTACAGGCCTTCTCCCATACCTGGAGACACTGGGGGTCCTTGCCTGTGACAGCCCGAGGCTCCCTGTGACAGTGGCAGCAACCTGAGGAAACCCAAACAGAGCAGCCCTCAGCTCCCAGCGCCAGGGCCCCTTCGGCTGCCGCTCTGCACTTGCTCGGCTGAAAATGTTAAGCCTGGAGCAGCGTCACCCCACAGTGAAAGGTGGAGGAGGATGGCAGAGCAGGCATGAATAATCTAAAATCACAGGCAATTTGAGTCACTATTTCTGGAATGCACTGCAAACTCCTTATAATTTTTTTCCTGGTTATAAAAAATTTTTCAAAAGTTTAAGTGTAGAAAATTTGGAAAACACAACATAAAGGAAGAATTCATAATCCTATATCATGAAGATACTTATTGTTAACATCTTGCCTCTTTTCATTTTTTCCCCCTCTCTGTATAGGTGTGTGCGTGTATAATTGAGACAATAATAAACATACGGTTTTCCACCTTGACTCTCTCACTACAGAGCATCAAGACTACAAAGATACCTTCAGAAATATCGCTTGTATTATATGCTGGATTATATTTAAGAGGACACCGCAGTTTATCCTCTGTTATTGGGCATTTGAATTGTTCCCAACTTTTTGTAATAAAAAAACTGTGGTGACCATCTGTGTACAGGGTGCTCAAAACACTTTCTGAATGAGCGTTGTACACAAATCTTTGATTGGAGCTCTGATTATTTCTTTAGAATAAAGCCTTATAAGTGAAAATACTGAGTCAAGTGTATGAAAAATTTTAAATTCTTAATATACTTTGCCAAGTAGCTTTCCAGAAAGTTTACAGCAATGTACACTCCCTCCAGCAGAATACGAGGCTGGTCATCTTATTGCACATTAGAAAGAAAAATGATCACAAACTTGGAAATAAAGCAAGACGAAGAATTTATGTATACATTCTTTGTATACGTATATCTTTCTACAATATACCAGGGTACTGACAAGCACACTCGAGGATTACTCATCTAGTGAATGTATCACTGTTTGACTTCGCTATTTAATAAAACACCCTAAACATGACAGTTTTATTGCCCTGTACGACATTAGCCTGTTTCGTATCTATTAGCAGATTCATCTCAACATTCATTTGAGTGAGGGACACACTCACATCTGTTCCTCAAGTTATCTTTTGAACCAGCTTTACCGTCTTGCTGGTTCCTGAGTTAATTAATGAGTTAAATAAGAGCTTTGACACATGTCCATTCTTCTCTATGTGTAAGAGTCATGTTTCTAACTTTCTGAAAATTATACTTGGACACATGTTTTCCTTTATTAAAAACACAACTTTGAAAGCACTGAATGGTTTCCTATGGACATTAACAGTTATGGATACATATTAGATTAATATTCAAATTAAATTGCATTTCCTGAATATACATCTGCCCAGAATGAGGACTCAGACTTGAGCCGGGACAGAACTTTGGGTCTGATGTGATTACTCATCCATTCTAGGAAGGAATTTGCATTCCTGATAAAGGGCTTGAGCAATTTTCTGACAGACCAGTGAGCTCAAGAACTCCTGGGGAATTCCGGGTGCCAACCCAGCTGACCACCCAGCCTAATATCTTTAAGCGCAACTCCTTTTCTTCCCTGTAAATGAGAGGACTCAAGCGAGAACTCATTTAATTGGCCTGCAGGAACCTCTGCCCTTATAGCAAGTTTGATAGAAAACTTTGACACACGCATGGCATCAACCTGTGTTAGAGGTTACTTTAACACATATAACCACGTAGGGGAGCCGAGATGTCTGTAAGCCCTAAAAAATGACTGGATCAACAGCTTTGTACCTGCTCCTGGGCCACAAACAGAGAAGGAATGGTGCCTGCTGGCATCATGGGTTCAAGAAAAACATGTTTCATTTGGGGGCAGGTGATTAAAATGCAGGGGAAAACTGCAGTCACAGTCTCTGGGTTTCAGTACGGCATCTGCCAAGTGTCTTAGCATGGTCTTGTGGACAGGATGAAGAAGAAGGGGGTGACATTTCAGCTGCCTGTGAGCCAACACCTCCGTGCAGAGAACGGACCTGTGTCAGGAGGCGGCCTGCGGGCACGGGCTGGGATGTTTTTACACCGGCTACGGTGCAGACACAAATGAGGTATGTCCCAGAAGCGTGAGTGACGTGAAGGTAACTGATATGCAGGATGTCTGTCAGTGAAGATCCCCAAATAGCCCACCAGGATGAAATTTAATGGCATAAATGTGAGGCTTTGCTCTCGGGTTAAATAAATTAACCTCACAAGTACAGGACAGCCACGGCAGCGTGTGGGTCTGTGTGAAAAGGGCTCAGGGGCTTTGGCTGACAGCAAGCCCCTGATGAACCCACAGCAAGGTGTGGCTGCCAAAAGCTTTCCTTCTGGGGACAACACGTAGGGTGAGAACGGTGGCAGGTTTCCTCCGCCCTGCCCTCGACAAAACCGCGTGCAGCTCAGGGCACAGACGTAACCCGGAAAGTCTTGGGGGACAGGGCTGGAACCGCAACCCTCAGGGAACTGTGGATGGGACTGGAGAGACACAGCCTGGGAGACATGCTGGGGCCGTCCTCAGATCTGGGAAAGATGGCGTGTGTGGGATGGGATTCAGTCTGTTCTGTTTGGCTAGGAGGACAGGACGATGGGTGGCAGTTACAGGGAGGCTGATTGTTGCTCATGGGAAGGAAGCCCTTTCCAGAAGTTCCCACTGTCCTCAAGTGGACAGTGAGTCCTGGGCCACTGGAGGCGTCCAGGGGAAGCTGGACGTCGGGCTGGGGAAAAAAAGAGCAGTGTCACCCATCAGAACAGCTGGACCGGGCCTTTAAGCGCCCTTCCAACATCTGTGTGTTACATATATAGGTACTACAGGCTACATTTTAAAAGGTAGCGACGGCCAGTGGTTGTCCAGGCAGTGCTGACCACCCTGAACAGAGACAGGGGCTGTTTGGGCAGGACCTGCAGGCACCACAGGTCTGCCCGCTTAACTCACAGACACAGCCGTTCTGCTCGCAGGAAGCCCGCCTGCTGCCCAGGCAGGGCGGAGCAGGGCTTCCTCAAGCAGCCGGGCAGGTTCCCCCCCCAACCCCTGCCGGGGCTCAAGGCCAGACTGCCCTCCCAGCAGGCCATTTTCCTACAGAGACTTCTGGCTCCCACCCCTCCCCGTCTGCCCCACCCTTCCCAGCAGGAGCGGAAAAGGGGCCGCGCAGGAAGCCTTCACAAAGGCGGCACCGGCGTCCTTTGTCCGCTGGGCTGGGTTCTGTCTGGACTGAGCTCTCAGGCTTCGGGGTCTGGCGCGGGGACCAGAAAGGAGCCCCACGTCATCGGGAGGCAGCAAACACAGCTCTGGGGCCGCTTACTACTTTAGTTATCCTTGAAAGCCTCCGAGAGCATGAGAGGCCGTCGTGCCTGCTGGCTTTCAGATGTTTCTGCACATCTGAATCCACCAGGGAACCTTAAAAAATCCCAGCGCCCCGACGTGCTCCCCAGCTGACTCTGCAGGCGTGGGAGCCGGGCACACACATTTGTTTACAAGCAACCGAGCGATTCTTCTGGCACTGCCACGTGCCTGGCTCTGGGCTTCCCAGGCTGGAGGGGAAGCATCACCTGGGGAATCTTGCTAAAATGTACATTCTGACTCAGCAAGTCTAGGGCGGGCCCCAAATTCTGCACTCCTCCCAGCCCTGGAGGGTCTGATGATGCAGGCCACCCTCTCAGTAGCGGGACTCCAGCCAATGGACTCATTCAGCTCGTCTTTACTGGCTGGGCTGAATTCCCAGAGGGAAACGCAACACCGAGGGCTAATCTGCCCTGCTCTGCAAACAAGCTGACCCGGGAGCGCTTCTTGCCTTTTGGGCTGCGATCGTCACTTGCTGTTCATAGATGTCGAGGTTCTGGTTCATGAGCTCCAAGGCCTGCTTGCGGCTGGTGAGGGCCAGCGGGTTCGGGCTCAGGATGGACCGGTGCTCGTACACGGCAGCCACGTATTGGGCAGCCTGGTGACGCTCAGCCGGGCAGCGCTCCTCGGCCTGGGCCCCCAGGGCAGCCACGCAACAGCCGCAGAGGAGAAGAGCGAGCTGACGGCTGGCTCCAGACATAATGCAGACCATCAATCTAGAACGCAATGGGGCAAGGAGAAAACAGCTGAATCCAGAATCCCACCAAGATTGGGACTTGCGCAGCTGTGATTGATTAATCCCGGCAATCAGACTCACCGGCTGTGATGCTGCAGCTCAAAGAGTTTCAGGTTCCTAATAAGAGGGTATGTGTTTCTCTCCAAACACGCAGCGAGTTACTTTTAAAATGGCTCACTGTGTTAACAGTCTGGTTTTAGAACATTTCCACAACAGACCCAATGTTTGCCACGATTTGCTTCCCCAGCAGGACTCTTCTAGTTGCACACTTCAGATTTAGGCAATAATAACTATTCTAATTATTTTAGATAACTCTGTGACATACTCCACACCCCACCGCCTGCCCTCAGTACACACAAACATACTACAGGTCAGCCATCTATACCAGCTGGGACTGTCATGATCCTAATAATACAGCTCGGCTATCTTAGCCACAAAAACCTGATGGATCACAATTCTCCCTGCCTTTCTTTGGTTAGTGATGAATATAAAGCGTAAGCCTCCCTTTACCCAGCACCACATTCTTTAACTTGGTGCAGAGAAACTGCTGACTTCTACTTAAATGCCAGGTTATGGACAGTCAAAAAGAAGTCTCCCCATCAAAGCATGACTTTTTCCCCCTCCTTGAACTTGAGAATTGCCATTGCACACCATCACCTTCTCAACCTCTGTTTCTGGGACTCCAAAACTCCTGCTCAAAAAAACCATACTCATTTGGAAATAAAATCCCTTTGCAGTAATAAAATGCAACTTTCTAGAAAATAAACTAGAATTTCTAGAAAGTAAACTCAGCTTTGTAGCTCCTACCGTAAGAGATTAGAAGTAAACTTTCAATGACACTTCTGTGTGCCTTTTTTTCCCAAGAATAGGCATTTTAATTTCTAAAAGTTATGTGTCACTGGGTGTTTTTACACACAGTTCTGCCTTGAAAATTGGCTTGGCCTCCCAGCCACAGTCCCTCCCCAAGCACACAAACTTGCCAGGCAGTGCCAAGGCCAGGCCCCGTGCTCCGTGGAGATGTGCCTGGGCCAACCAATTGCCCAGGAATCCAACTAAATGTCAAGACAGCAGAGACAAATCGAGGAACCACATTGCTGCTCTTTAAAGACAAAATGCCACCCTGCCCAAGTCTGACTCAGAACCCCCGTGTTTGCATTTCAAAACCAGACCCCCCAGGCCGCCACAAATTTCTTTTTCTCTCAAAGTTCCAGAAACAAAAGCAACCATAAGTATTTTCAGCAGCAGACCACGGACGCGGGGTGCTCAGTCAGAATCCTCGCAAACTCAGATACTTCTCAGGGTGAGCAGCGCTCTCCATCCCAACCCCGCCCTGTCTCAAACTGTCACTTCTCTCCTCAGGGAAGAAATGTTCCATCCAAATGCCAGGCTCCAGGGCGTGCTGCCGTCAGTCTGGGGCACTGTAAGCAGTGTTGGAAGATCAGATCAAGAGGCCTTTGAGTGAGCGGCCATGAGCTTTTGAGTAGAAACGGAAGTATAACTGATAAGCTCTCTTATCTGAATTTTGCCTCTGAAGACCAGCAATGAATAATTTTTTTTGAATTTTATTTTTTTTATACAGCAACTTCTTATTAGGTATCTATTTTATACCTATTAATGTATATATGTCAATCCCAATCTCCCAATTCATCCCCCCCAGCCCCGCTTTCCCCCCTTGGTGTCCATACGTTTGTTCTCTACATCTGTGTCTCTATTTCTGCCCTGCAAACCGGTTCATCTGTACCATTTTTCTAGGTTCCACATATATGCGTTAATATATGGTATTTGTTTCTCTCTTTCTGACTTCCTTCACTCTGTATGACAGTCTCTACGTCCCAGCAGGGAATAATTTTTAAAGTCTCAAAATCGGTTTCCCATTCCAGCTCTGGTTTCAGAATGATGATAATGGGGAGTGGTTTGAGGGGAAAGCTTTCATCTTCAAAGTCAAATTCGCAATATTTCTAAAGTATAAGGTCATGGCCTCACTAAGAGGGGGGAAACAAGGCCGGGTGGTGGGGGGAGCACATGAACCAGGACCCGGTGGGGTTAGGTCAGGAGGTCCTGGAGCTGAAAGCGGCGTTTGCGGGGTCCTCCTTCCTCAGCTGAGAGCTGCATGCCGCTGATGTGGGGACAAAAAACATTCGTTTAAATCTCAGGGACTGGGCTTCCCTGGTGGCGCAGTGGCTGAGAGTCCGCCTGCCAATGCAGGGGACACGAGTTCGAGCCCTGGTCTGGGAAGATCTCACATGCCGTGGAGCAACTAAGCCCGTACGCCACAGCTACTGAGCCTGCGTGCCACAACTACTGAAGCCCACGCACAGCAATGAAGACCCAAGGCAGCCATAAATAAATAAAATCTCAGGGCCTTGCAGTCCAGCAAAACAAGGAAATTGCGGAACCAGCAAGATATCCCCTTTCTATTTTGAGAAAATAAATTTATTTACAAAAAGAGCCTGGTAGGAGAGCCGTGAGTGGCAATCATTTCTGCGTGAACAGAGGTAGGTCAATAATAAGGGGTTATGCAGATTCAGCCAGGTATTCCCCCTTGAAAGAAGCAAGCCTAATGAGGTAGGAGAGAATGAGTCATTAAAATAAAAATAGGCACCACAGTGCACCCTTGCTGAAGAGTGGCGTTCTGGTTTTCCCTCTCTACGTGGCAGGGGCTGTGAAAGGCCTGGATGGCAGCAGCAGGTGCTGGCAGGCGACAGGATGCAAGGGCACAGGTGGCCCGGTGCTGGCTCAGGATGGCGCTCACCGAGTGGCTGAGGGGCCGGGGTCTCCCCGGGAGTCACGAGGTTCTTGGTGATCCAGCAACAGATCCACCTGCTGAGCAGGGCAGGGCCTGGACCATAAACAGAATGGTGGCTGGAGATGTGTGCTCAGTCTGAAAAGCTAGCTTCGAACCTCCTTCCATCGTAGGCATTTGACGGGAGTCTAAAATCCAGGAAGGGCCCAGCGTGAAGGCACCACTGAGGTGACAGTGTGCTCCCACATCCTGCTTCCTGAGCTCCACTGAGGCGGGGGCGGGAGACGGCAGGGCCGGGACCGCGCTCACTTCAACATCCACGTGATACCCGCGGAGGTGCAGGCGTCGGGGACCCAGCGGTGAAGGCGCCTAGCCCTTCAGAGTGGACCCTCCCCATGTATGAGGAAACTGCCACAATCAACACAGATCGTCCCCCTACTCGTGATGGTTCGACTTTACGATGGTGCGAAAGCCATATGCGTTCAGTGGAAACCGTGCTCAGAATTCAGAATGTGGACTTTCCCTGGGGGTCCGGCATGCAGTACGACCCTCTCTCTGATCCTGGGCAGGGCAGCTGCAGCCCCCAGTCACGGGGGTGAGCAACTGATACACTGACAACCATCCAGACCCGCACTCCATTCAGTTCTTCCCTTTCAGTGCAGTATTCCATAAACTCCGTGAAATAGTCAACCCTTTATTATAAACTAGGCCTTGCATTAGAGGGTTCTGCCCACGTGCAGGCTAATGTGAGTGTTCTGAGAACGTGTGAGGTGGGCGGGGCTGAGCTGGGATGTCCGGGAGGCTGCGTGTATCAAATGCATTTTTGACCCATGATATTTTCAACTTACGATGGGTTTATTGGGACATTAACCCCATTGTCATTGCCAACTGACTGCACCTAACGTGTCATTTGGCAATAAGTACGAAGGAGCCATAAAGACAGGGAGGGGGCAGGGAGGGCCTGGCGTGGGTGGAGGTAGGTTTTAGACCTGGACGGGCTCCAGGAGAAGCCGGCGTCCGAAGAAGGTGCGAGAGGAGGCCCGTAGGTGCCGGGGGAAGAGGGTTCCAGGCAGCGGGCTGCTCGCTCTAAAGGCCCGACTGGGAGCTTTCGGGTGGTTCAAGAAGCAGCCAGGAGAGCGGTGGGCTGGGACCAGGGACCAGGGACCACGGAAGGCGGCAGAAAATGAAGTCAGAGGGAGATAACCGGCAGCTCCCACAGCGCCCCACTCTCTTCCAGCCTCATCTCCGTGGAGATCCAGTTAAAGCCTGGGTCAATCAAGACGGTCCTCTGCTCAGAATTCCCCGCTGCCTGCAGAGTGAGAGCTGAGCCAGGAAATCATTGCTGGGGTGGGGACAGCACTGCTGGAGTGACATCTTCATGCAAAAGCATCCTGGTCTTCTCACCGCCCTACAGAAGCCTCTGCTTCTCAGTTCATAAAGAAACATGCTCCCTTGACACTAATCCTGGTCAGGAGGGTTCTTATGATCTATGAGGAAAAAAAATCAAAGTCTTAAATTACATGGAAATCTGTTTTGTGGAAATTTGGTAACATGTCAATGACTAGATATTTTTACACACAAGGAACTTTTGTTTTCCATCTTGCTAAATGAGTCACCTTGAAAATTAGCTGTGTTTCCTTCCTAGCCATGCTATTACAATAGTGTCTTTTGCAATAAAATGAAAGGATTATTATGAAGGTATTCTTAATAAGATAATTTCAGAGGCAGGTATATACACTTAAAATTTTATATATAGACATACTGATCATTTTAATAAAACATCTTGTCACTCTTGTGAAGGAGAATGACAGCCCCATGATTGGGAAGTTGGCAGAGGAAATGTCATATCCTGTGGAACAAAGCTGAGGGACCAGCTAAGTCATTATGAGCGAGCACAGTATACACTTCTACGTGTATCTGACAGGATGCCATGAAAAATACTGTTAAGTTTCAAACAGTTCTAAACCCATTCTCATGAGTTTTGTGATTTCCTTGTCTAAATCCTTTTACATAAGCAGGAGAAATGCTCATCTGCATCTAACTTACATAATCTGAATTTAAAGAAACCCCAAAGAGACCTTCATTTCCCAGAAAGCCTCTTGTTCTCTGCCTCTGTGCCTAGTGACCTGGTCCATGACCAGCCCTGGAACAATGTAAAACCCCACAGTGTTGTAGCTTGAACAGCTTCGTGCAAACCATCCACCACCAAGACTCTGATGCCTCAGGGGTGTGTGTCAGGTGGCAACTGAGTGAGGGTGATGCTGAGGTTCAAGGCTGAACTTACATGAAACAGTGAGTAAATTACCAGGAACTCCTGGCTGAACTGGTAAATTGTCATTTTTCTTTTAAAAACATTCCAGGGGCTTCCCTGGTGGCCCAGTGGTTGAGAGTCCGCCTGCCAATGCAGGGGACATGGGTTCAAGCCCTGGTCTGGGAAGATCCCATATGCCATGGAGCAACTGGGCCCGTGAGCCACAGCTACTGAGCCTGCGCGTCTGGAGCCTGTGCTCTGCAACAAGAGAGGCCACGATAGTGCTAGGCCCATGTACCGCGATGAAGAGTGGCCCCCGCTTGCCACAACTAGAGAAAGCCCTCGCACAGAAACGAAGGCCCAACACAGCCATAAATAAATAAATAAAGCAAACTGTCAACAAGTAAAAATAAACACTATTATAAAACATTCCAGCTGTTACCTCCAAAAAGCAAGTGACATTAACTAAAGTGTAACCGTGGACCAGGCCTTGGACTGGGGCCCCTTTCTGGTGACGGGAGTAATTTCTCTTAGAACACCGAATGAGCAATCGTGGCACTTGAACCTAAATATGTCACCTTTCTTTTCCTCAAATGGGAAATCACCTTCATTATTTAAGACAAAACTTCCCCCTGAAATGCACAGGTGTTTAATGGAAGAAGTCTCTTTTCTTCACTTTGTTGTGCAGACAGAAAAGAGCGCCCACGAGACTCTGCTCCAAAGAAGAGACCCCTCCAGGTCCGCTACTGCCACCCTGTGGGCCAACGGAGTACCACTTACCCACGTGGGGATTTGCGCTGAAGTGCCGCAAGAGTGGGTCATTCTTAAGAAGTAAATGGATGCTTTTTCCTCCTTTCCATTCCTAACACTTTATCTATCTCTTTTTTCCCCACCTAACTCTTTTACAGTGAAAAAACTAGACAACATTTGACTTTCCAAGATTTGGGTCTCATGAAAGCTATTTTTTTATTTGCCATGTTCCTAGGACCTATTTCATCTTCTATATTCACAGGTTCTAAATTTGCTGTGATTTCTTACAGCAGTACACCCCATAGATGTGAGTGGGTGTGCAAAGCAATGCAACCCATCCATAGATGCACAGCGCTCTTCACAGGGAAATCTAGTTGAGGTAAAGGATCCAAAGGGACAAATGTTTACATGGCTGCCACGTTGCATTTTATGTTACATGTTAATGTTTTCAAACCACTTTAACATCCACTGCTTGATTTTATCTTCCTGTCACATAAAGCAATGGAAGCAGATGGTAAAATTCCATTTTCATGAAGAGGGAATCCTCCAGGACTAGTTAGTGGTGAGAACAGAATGGAAAGCAACTCTCCTGTCTCCTGGTCCAACCCTCCCAGTACATGTTCAAGATGGGGGTAATTTATCAGTCAGACCTTCAAAGACCACTGTGGTGTCTTCATTGCAGCTGCAGCAGAATTCAACAGAAATTCAAAGTACCCTCACAAGGGAGAGACTGGTTGGTCAGACCAGAGCAGTGGTTCTCAAATGGGGATGCTGACGCTGAGGCACCTGAAAGGCTTGAACATGCAGTTCCCTGGACCCCTTGCCCAGAAGTTTTCACTCCGCAGACCTAGGGTAGGGCCCTAGAATATGCATTTTCTAATGAGTTCCCAGGTGATGGTGGTGCTGATACTCCTGGCCTGGGGTCACCTGCAGAGCCACTGGGCTGGAGGGTAAAGGCAGGTACATTCTGACACTATCTTCCCCTCACCTCAAAGAACGACATGAGTCAGAACCATCACCTTTATTTCCCAGGTGCTTCTCCAACAAAAGGGCTGAGAGAATGTGGGCAGATTTCAAAGTGCTCCCACCACATTAGTGGAAATGACCAGCAAAGTATTTAAATACTCAAACTGGGGGGAAAAAAGTCCCCAAAACAATCTGGTCCAGGTCGGTTAAAGGATTAAGTGCTTGTCTTTGCCTTGACAGGAACATCACTGTAGAACCAGGTTGTTACTGGTTTTCATTTGTTTAAATAAGGTTCCTGATTTTAAAAGACTAGAACAGGGGTAAGAGATAGATATTCCATTAGGTAATTACATAAGATGAATAAAGAAATATGTAGGAATTAAATGAATAAGTAAATAATGTATAATATATTTATAAATTTAAATAAATTTTAATTTAAAAATTTTAACATAATTATTTATAAATATAATTATACATTTATAGGTAATCTGAAAAATCTTTCAATTATATTCTGCAGAAGTGTATCAGATTTCTTCTCAAAAGCTTATCTGGGGCTTCCCTGGTGGCGCAGTGGTTGGGAGTCTGCCTGCCGATGCAGGGGACGCAGGTTTGTGTCCCGGTCCAGGAGGATCCCGCGTGCTGTGGAGCAGCTGGGCCCGTGAGCCATGGCCGCTGAGCCTGCACGTCCTGAGCCTGTGCCCCGCAACGGGAGAGGCCACAACAGTGAGAGACCCGCATACCGCAAAAAAAAAAAAAAAAAAAAGCCCTTGGGAAATTTCTCCCCCATTTCTTTGTTGGACTACCTTCAATTAGAGTCATCAGAAGAAGCACCTTCTAGGGAATGAGGACCTGAAGACTGGACATGGAGAAACACAATCAGCACATGGAAAATATGATGCCCTAGAACCACAGGTCAAATTTTTCAGGGAAGATGTGCTCAGAAGTGGGGGCAATGCAAAGGTTCTTTGTGAATTAAATGTATGGTGGATAAAACATCTCTAAGGGCATGGTGGGCCAAACATCACGACACCACGTCCCATCACCTCTGTGCTCTTGTCTGCCAGTGCTCGGGACTGAAACACCCAGATCACAGGACCAGCAAGATGGTGAGGATGCCCTGCATGCAGAGTGTGGAGGACAATGGAATGGGTATTAGAGCCAGGAAACCGTGGTCCCCAAGTCAAAAGAACAATCCCTAATAGGATAGTCTGGAAACACTGAGAATGAATAATAGTAGGAAGAGTAAAAGAAACAACAAAAAAATCTAAGGTAAAACACAGCACTAGAGAAAACATGCCAAAGGCCACCTTCTCCTATGGAGGGTCCAGGAAGTATCTGCTGGGGAGAGGCACAGTCAAGCTCACCAAGAGAGAAACAGCAAAAGGCAGGCAAATGGGTCCAGATGCTGTCCCTCTGAGTACCTGTGGAGGATGCTCTCGACACAAGCATGGTGGCAAGCTGTAGGTGACCCGCAGTGCAGTTAGAGGGCAGCACATGATCAAGAATGAGAGTGACCTTAGCCCTACTCACAAACGTGGCCGACTCCACGCAGGGCATGGTAAATGGCAGAGAAATGGTCAGTATCTCTGCTTTCGCCTCTCTTCCTAGAGGCACTGAGCATTTTTGTTTTCTTCTGCTTTGGACAGACTGGTAATTATTTGTGTGCCTTACTGGTAGTTCTCTGTATGCCACCACACTCAGAACAACAAGAGGAAAAGTTTGATTGAATAAGTGATATTGGGATAACTGAACAACAATTTGGAAATAAGATTAAACACCTTACACCATATACAAAAACAAACTCAAAATCAGGAGTTACATGTTGAATGTTAGGAAAACTAGAATAAATTATAATTGGCTATCAAGGGTTTGATGAAACAACTTTCTAAAATCTGAAGCAGTTAAAATAATAGAAGAAACAGATTGATAAATTAAAATTTACATGCAAAATATAAACATCAAGATAACACTTATAAATAGGCAATAAACAAGAACAGATTTAAAGAAGAAAACAAATCATAAACAAACACTTTGAAAAACTCAACTTACATACAAAATAAACATTAACTTGTACTATTTTAAAATATTAAATTTGGAAAAAAATAAACTAGTAAAGTGATAATAATAGTACTTTCTTATTGGGAAAAAAGTTTAATAATTCATATTATAAATCACAAACAGTATTCTTCTGGGACTTTATCTTAGGAAGTCATTTAAAAAAGAAAAAAGTCAGTTGAAATGACAGCATACTATGGAAGTAAAGAACATGGGCTTTTGAGTTTTAAAATGTCTGATTTGAAATCCTGGATCTGGGAATTCCCTGATGGTCCAGTGGTTAGGACCCCACACTTCCACCGCAGGGGACACGGGTTTGATCCCCGGTTGGGGAAGTAAGATTCTTCATGCCGTGTGGCGCAGCCAAAAAAAAAAAAGTAAATCCTGGCTCTGATACTTACTCATTATATAAGCTCGGATAAGTTATTTAACACAAAGAGCTTCAACTTCTTCAACTACAAACTG